TAAGTCATTACAAACATGGCGGCAATGGATGTAAACACATAGTATATTGCTACTGCGACACTAGCGCTCATCATCAGAGGAGACGTCGACGTCTTTTATCGAGGCTTTCCAGTGACAAGCCCCTACTTAGGAGCGGCTACTGTGTTTTTGGGAAATTGTAGTCGGTGAGTTTACTACTTTCATTTACTACTTCTGTGATATTACTACTATTTCTACTTCCTGTTATCTTCTTCGTCATCATCTTTTTCGCCAGTAGAAACAGCCGGTTGTTGATCACGTGACTCCCGTGATGCGAAAAAAGTGTTTCCATTGCAGTTTTGCGAAAAACACCAATTTCGATACGGCCGAAAAACCACCTCAGCCTAGCGCAAAAACAATTAGTCAAAAAACATAATTTTGTTCAAAATTGACGTGTTTTCATTGAGCAAATTTATTTTCGAAATTCTAATTTAAGCATTTTCATGGTCACTGGAAACGCAGCTAGTGAAGCTCGTTTCAGATTCAAAACACCTTTGAGGAAATGTATTTTCAGATGTCAAGTAAACTGCATCATAGCACGCACGTGACCCCCCGCACTGAAATGGGACGGGACAGAAGCGGAAGGAGGTTCTTAAAGAGACAGAGGCCAATTTCAAGGCGTTTAGAATAGGAAGTGCTGAGAAGATAAGTTTATTTTATATTTAAACACAAAACAGCATTTTAATAACAGCTAAAGGTGACACAGATACTTTATTATGGTATAGCATTAGGCCTGTCACGATAACAAATTTTGCTGGGCGATTAATTGTCTCAAAATTTATTGCGATAAACGATAATATTGCCTGGTGACCGTTTTACAACTAATAATTATAAAAGCGTAATGTGTAAGTGTAAACAAGCTGGAAAATGAAACTTATCGGCCCCTTTTTTTTTACCGACCTCAAAAAAAGTTATCGTGCGATTAATTGATTTATTGACTATCGCGACAGGCCTATATAGCATTTAAATATATGCCTGAGAAACACATAATATTGGCCCTTTAATAGTAACAAAAGCTTAAAAGCTAAAAGTAACAAAGCCTAATGAAAAGTTATTGAACACTAAAATAGTGTTTTTTTTAATATTCCTACATATCTTTAAAGTCATGTACCATGATTCAGAACCCAGACTCAAACTGATATTTAATTTTAAGTGCAACTTTGTAATACACACCTTAAAAATGTAAAACAGCATTATAAATGTTGTTTTCACAGTGTATTAAAGCAAAACAATAATTACAAAAACCTTTAATTTTCCAAAGCACTGCAGACACGCTAAAGTGGGAATGTTGGAAATGGTAGGAGGTTCTTAAAGAGACAGAGGCCAATTTCAAGGTGTTGTGATGCAAAGTCAGCTTTTTTAATCTATTTGTTTTATATAGCCTTTTCAGAACAACTGAAAGTAACAGTTACTTGATCATGGCATGACTTTCATTCTGCAGTGCTTGATGGAGAGAGAAAAAAATAGAGAAAAGAAATCAGTATTGTCTGGCTGCTAATCTGAATCTAAGTGACAAAAAGTGAATGATGTTGTGGATGCAGCACAGCAGACATATTTACAGAAAGTGGGAGGAGAAAGTTGGCAGCCAAGAAAACAAGAAAATGCCATGTCAGAGGAGAGTCTGATGCCACATAATAAGTTATGGTGTGGTGTTGCTGCCAGATGCTCAGTACTGTGTTTGGGCTGGATGTGTTCACAAAGGTCCCTTCATCCATACGCAGATGTTCTCCATATGTTCTGCATGTGTCGGCTTTTAGTCTCTAAAATGCATCCAGATCTATTTTAGTCAATCTGATGGGCAGTAACAATAAGTGTAGTGGTGGACGACAAAATCTGGGCTTTATTGTGACATTTTTTATCACATTTACCAAAAAAATAAATAAATACAAAAATTTGTGTTATCAGCTACAACAGGGATGGGCACGTCCATCCGCCCCGCCTACGAGGCCCACTCTGCGAATCTAGGAGCTGCTTTGAGTGTTTTTCTTTTCTTTAATACAATTTTTAATTTTATATACAGAGTTGTTGTTGGTTTTTTTAGGGTGGAGGTGAATTATCTGTTCACAGAATTTCAAGACAAACCTGTGTGTTTATTCTGTTTGTTTTCCATAAATAATTTTATTATTAGTCACCAATACATGTTGCACAAAGCTAAATATAACAAGTTTAATGAAGTTGCAAACATATAAGCAACAGCAACTTACCACAACCACACGAGTCCACACTTAAGGTGTCTCGTGCTGTTACGCTTCAGCTGGCTAAAGTAAGCAAGTGTTTATTTTTATTTGCTTCAAACATTTCATATCCATATTTATTAAACATGAGTACAACAGTTGCATGCRTTTGATCATGAAACATGTTAAGTTACTACCATGCACTTTGGTTACACTACAGGTGCTGGTCATAAAATTAGAATATCATGAAAAAGTAGATTTATTTCAGTAATTCCATTTAAAAAGTGAAACTTGTATATTATATTCTTACATTACATACAAACTCATATATTTCAAATGTTTATTTYGTTTAATTTTGATGATTACAAATGACAACAAATGAAAATCTCAAATTCAGCAT